TAAAAGCCCCAAAGCGTGATTTGAAAACAGTCTTGGGAAGGTCTTTCATGCAATACGAGAGCCCTTCCTCCTAAGCATTAAACTAGGCCTATGAATAATGAAAGATTCAAATGAAACTCAAGAGTCTGCAGGCTCGCTCCTTCTGTGCAATCAGCCTGTGGGACAAATCATTTTACCTCCGCACTTCTGACCAGACAAGGGCAATGATAACGGCCTTTCAGACAACCTGTAGACTAGAAGGACTCTCAAAAAAGTGGCTCTCAGTAAGGCTTGGGGAGACGCATGCGTTGCAATGGTCAGAAGGAACTCCAGTCCTCGCTCAGTGCGGTGGGAGCCCGTGACTCATGAAGCTGAACAGCCTACCTGCTCTCATTTCCTAGGCGCAGCAGGAGAAATGCTGCTGCTGCTGCCTCCTCCTCAGCAATACCAGGCAGTGACTAGGGGAAGAGAGAGCCATGCCTCTATTGATACAGTGCGAATTCCTTCTCTTAGGCAGGTCCACCCTGACTGCGCTACTGCTTAAAACTTTTAAAATGTCTAAACCTTGAAATTTTCTAAAGCCTCAACTCAAAACTCAGTAATCATTTTCAAAATTGCGGTTTCCTCACAGTGAGGAGGAAATTTTTACATCAAGCAGAATCCAAATAAACCAACATTTTGTTTATGCTGGGAAAATCTGAGACAGATTCTGCAGGAACTACATTCTAACAGCCATCTCTCACTTCTAGGCTTGAAAGAAAAAAGGTAAATCCCTTGGGGTTATTAACCATGGAGCAGAGACCTCTGTTCCACTTTAGAGCATGAAAGGTAGCTACAAACGGCAGCATGAACTCAGTAGCACCCACTTGAAAAACATCACTACTCTTCCAAACAATACAAAATGCTGCCATACAGGCCATACTTAGTACTTCCTAGCAACTCCAGATCAAGAATATCAGGGCATTTTTAACTTCTGGCTTCTAATAGTCAATCAGTTCACATTGTCTCTTTAGATTTAATGAGTCATCCTTCCACCTATTTAGATGCACACTCACCCAAAACACTTTAACAAATATGTTGAAGAAGTGGAAAGAGGGAAAAGTTTAAACAGTTAGGAAGGTATTTACCCACACAAGCTTACCTTCTCCTTCATTGATGGCTCTTCCTTCTGCGCCCTCTATTTTCAAGGAGCACATTAGACGAGGGCCTGGCAGGGAGTAGGTTAGCCACTGCTGGGTCCCCCTTGAGACCAGGGTCCCTTGCAGCCACACTACCCTCAGCTTGGCAAGTGCTTGGTTCTCTCACCCCAAGTTGTACAAGTCTCAGCTTCCTTCTCCTCGAGGTCAGACTGGGAGGAGATGACTGAAGGATTCGCAGAAGTGCATTGCCTTTGAGCATGTCCCTCTCAACCCACAAGCAATACTTGAATAGTCTTTTAATATAGCCTACTCTGAAGCACAGCTTGCCTCTTCGTCTTTACGTGGCAATGGAGCATGATGGCTTAAGGGCACGTAAAACAAACAGGGGGCAAGAACAGAAATGCTGGGACTAGAAACTGGCAGGACAAAGGGACTAAATGTCTCCCTTAACTGTTAGGGGCTGCCAAATCCGGTAGCAAACTAGTAGCAGTCTGAGCATGTAGGCCCACACGCAAACACACACATGCAACACACCTACATACAGCTGGCCACACAGCTCAACACAAACAGAAACAGCATCAACAGCCTCATCGTGTTCCTCTCTCTGGCTGATCAGGATGAAGGTCCATTAGTGGGGATATATGCATATACAGCATGTGGATCCCCCCAGCAGCGGGGCTTAAGCACTTGCTCTATCCAGTAACTGACTCTGGTTCCTTGCTCTCCCTCATTGCCTCCCCCCGCAACACACACACATACACACGCAAATGGGTCTCAGTCAACCCTCAGGCCTTACAGTCCCACACTCCTAGGCAGAGACCCCCTCGGTCTGTCAGGTGCCCCGCAGAGCCGCTCCCAGGGCTCATAGGGCGGGTCTCACACCTGGCCAAGGGGGACCACAGTTCTCCTATGCCAGGCCTGTAGGAGCCAGGGCAGGGGGATTATTCCGGTTCCCCCAACCTGCCATTGTTCCTCTGCGCTCCTTTGTGTATGTGGCGGTGAGCCTATTATCACACAACCTAATGCTAACCAGGACCAGCCTCAGAAGCAGGGTGAGGCCCTCCGTCATCCATCTGTACACAGCACACAGGCACTGCTGGATGCTCCTGCGTGTCCAGCTGCAGTCCACACAGAAATGAAATGACTGTAGCTTTGCAAACAGTTCTAGTACTGTGGCGGTCAACTAATACTGCTGTATGAGCACACAGACTATATAGATCACCACATATGTTCATATTGCAAGCTTCTTTAGCAGCAGGATATAACAATGTTAAAGCTGATCTCTCTCCCTCTCTCTCTCTCACTGTATCAGGAACATCTTGAGGGAAAAGATTATGCTAATACCAGTGAACTGTGGTATTCTACTGTCAACCATGATGTAAAGCATGAACCCTCTGTAGTTAATACCAGTGACGGGACAGAATACGCAACTGTCAGCATGCCTAAGAATAAGCGAACTATCACCAGCTCTGAAGACAACAATGAATATGATTATATCCTGGTAAACTAGAAAGTGGCACTTTCTGCTGCCAAGACACCCTTTTGTTTGAATATATAAGCTAGTAGTGTGCAGTCTTCCTAACCACCTTACCTGCTATGTCAGATCTTCAAGCAAACCGGAGAGCATCTCTCTCACATTACAAAGGTTACACACTAGGACAAATCTGCCAGCTATTTCCAATGAGACAAATTTGTCCATTGAAAGGTGATCACAGAAAAAGACATGAGCAGAGTACAGGGCTCCACTTTATAACTAAAAGAAGAAGAACCAGTGTAACTGCCATTGCAAGATAATGTTTCTATACAGCAAATAAGGCTCTTCATTAGTAGAAGAACTAGACTCTTACAGTGCTTTTAAATGTTTTTTAAGGGATCTAATAAAACTGTCAGTGGAAATCTCAGTAATGCAATAATAATGCTCCTTGTTTTGTTTTTTTTAATAAAAATACATGCACATAAGTGCACTTAATCTCTTTCAAAGTTTCTCTGGCCTGCTTGTGTGATATATCATTACAGCGATATAGTACAGTTGATTAGTTCATTTTTCATATTTCCTCCTCTTTTTTCAATGTGATACTACTTTTCTCAGAGTGAAATCGTTAACAAAGTTGGAACTCAATCAAAAAGACAACAAATTTTATGCAAAACAAAAATCCAACCGCTTCAAACTGCTGCCACTTGCAAGACTAGCAACCCTATGAAGACCTAACGCTAATGCTGCACAGACAGTAGCCGCACTCCTCTCTCAGTAGAGGAGTCCCAGGTGCATACTTTGCCGCACAACGCTTCCAGTTCACTGCCCTCCTGCCATCTCAGATTTGGTTTTATGCAATACCAAAACACATCTCCCCATAGCCTCACCCGTCTGCAGCAGCATGTTTGGCCATTTATTCAACTGTTTTTTTAGCAAAGTTCATAAAGTGATTATGTGCCTGTGTTATTGCTAAAGCATGTTTTTTGCCCTCCTCCGTTTTTGTATTACAACAGTTTGGAAGATAATATTGAGCAGTTTTCCCGAGTTTAAAAGATTGGACCTAATCACTGGCTTTACAGTGTGGTGCCTTTGTGCACCCCACCTGCTGTTTCTGTGCCTGGGGGGGTCCCACAGGGTGAATGGGTTACATGGGACAGTGCACAAACACACTGCTAGCACTATGCAGGCAGCACTGTGCGGGTACTGCTGCAGCAACCAGACAGCTGAATCTGCCTCCAAATTTGTACTAAGAGCAGGAGCTACACATAGGACTGTCTGCCATGGGATTTTAAAGGGCTGGTTGTACAGCCCACAAGCTGAATTATCAGAACTGACCTTTCTCTTTTAACTGTTGTTCAGTTGTCTCAGTCATCTATGTATAACTCAGGCTCCTTCCATTAAAATTAACTAAACATTTACAAAGCATCTAACTTGACACAATAATATGTTGTCATACTACTCTGTTCCTAACTGGTGAAGCTGCAACTAATATATCTGGTTATTTTCTTTTATATTGTCAGTGTACCTCAAGGGGAAACAAACATACATCACCGTTTGCCTTTTTTGGACATTTTCTTCAATGAGAGTTGAAAGCATGACTGGAGGTAGAGAGTTAAGTTGGACGCTTTGTGTGGACTATCACAACGTCTTGCTACAACTCCTCCCTCTTCTTTCCAGTGAACTCTGAGGCGAAGGTAATGGGACAGAGGAGGATGGCTAGAAAGAAGTGAATGCTTGGCAGCTTGTCTCTTCTTCCTCATGGCTCTTGCTGCATGTAGAGGTATCACCACAAAAAAGAACAATCATGGTATTATTCTTCAGTTCTTTGATACTTAATCAAGATTAAGAAGTGTTGAAGGGCAGATTCTGTCACTTCAGGGCAAAAGAGCCTCAGCTCAAAGGCAAACTGTTCATCTGCTGCTGGTATTTTCACAGCCTACTGCTTTTGGGAGAGATCATACGCATGAAGATGGGTGAATTTTATCCTTCCCAGTGTAAGAATCAGAAAGAATATCTCCTTTAATTTTCTGCCATATAAGATATTGCATTAGGGATAGCATTTGTAGCTCTGTATTTCTCAAAAATGTACAGAAATGATAGCCTTAAATGTATAATTACACTAGTTCATCAAATGAGAACTAAGCCTTGAAAAGAGAAGATACTGGTTTTGGAGTCACCACTGTATCTCACAAATCAAGGTAGGATCAGAATTAGTCACAAATATGGGAGCCATGTGATCTGCTAAATTGGTCTAGACTGTTCCCCGAGCTCAGTTAAAACTGAAGCTACAACAAATATGTTTTTGAGTGTATTGCTGGACTGGAACTGCTGAAGGAAATGAAAACCATGGCTTAAGAGTAAAAATAAATAATTTAATGAATGTTATAATTATCAGATTACTCCTTAAATATACTAATAACATTAAAAAAACAGAAACACAATTTCCCACAAGCTATTTCTCAAGATAATACAAAAGGTTTCTTAAAATACATTTCTCTATCCAACAGTAGCAGCGTTTATACTGGCTATACACGTTTACAGTAACAAATTCAAACAATGCATTCACGACAAGAAGTTATATTTCACTAGCATGGTAGTGAATTCATCACATCTCTAGTAAAGCTAATGCTTAATTTTAAATGTTGATATTATTGCCAGTAACGAACTGTCATGCCACACTGGCCTACATGATGTGCCTCAGCACCCTTCTCTTAGCACTGGTCCATTTTGTGCAATCTCTTGTCAGCTAGAACGAGTATTTGCTACCTTATTAAGGCAAAAATCTTGCATCTGTTCATTTTTATTTCCCCTGTTGGGGCAGGGGGTATATTCAGGATCTAGACTAACTTCTCTTTGAATTTACAAATGCAGGTCAAATAGCTGCCTTTTCACAAGCATCACTGTCTAACAGTAGCCAGTTGTTAAAAGTGTGCAGCTTATTTGAACTTTCAAAGATTCCTCAGACATTCAGATGCGTTAGGGAACAAGATATGTCTCTTATCCATGGCATTGCGCTATTCACTTTAAATACATTTATTAGCTCTGGGCAAGATGCCCTTTACCTGGCTATTGCAAACAGCACCGCTGAGTTTTCCATTACATTCATCAGAAATATCCTTGTGAGTGCTGCAGGACTCTACCAAGAGCAGAGATCCATCAGTCTACGTGGCACTGTGCAACACATTGATGAAGATGGACCCTTGGGACATTTCTATTTCACATTATGAAAGAGAAAAATAAAGCAGATAATATCTTCTCTAAGAAGACTATAGGATGAACAAAGGGATGATAAGATTCCCAGCTCGCTTAAGAAGCTAATGCAAAGGCCTTGCATGCAACTAAAGAAAATAACAGGGACACGTTAAGTTTTCAGGTTGCTTTGAGAGGAAAGAATAACGGGGAAACGAGGCTGAGGAAGTCAACAGGGAAAAAGTCACAGACTTGAGCATAGGTGACTATGGAAGGATGAAGTGAGTATGGAGGTGAGTATGGAGGATGAAGCTATGCAGATAATTCTGGATAAGCAAAGAGCAGAAGAAAGGAAGTATAGGCAAGAATGCTTCTAAAGCAAGCGCAAGGAATGCAGAACTGATTCCTAAGGCAGGTCAATGGAGCATGTATCAAGCACGATACATGATTTTCCCAAAAGCAAATCAAAATGGGTTACTGATATATAAGGACAACGGTAAAGAAGGAGGTAGCAATGTTCTAGGAGTACAACACTGTTATAAATATACCACATTTTCAGCTTACCATACTGCATCACACAGTATTTACAGAACATCAACATCATTAGAAGTGTTTCTACATAACGAATAGCTCCCAGCCCTTTGGATTACTAAGAGACCTGAGAAGGCAATCTCTCCAAGTAGCCGAGGAAGAAGAGGAGTCTTTCCATCATTTCTCTGCAAGTTAAAATAGTACATTACTAGCATGAAAATGAAACTTTAGTTTGACACTTCAGTATATTTTTCCCTGTCCCCTTTGCGTTGCTTTTTCTGTGAACCTTATCAATACATGAGGAAGGAGATGACATTGAGCATTGTAACTTAAGACCTGTTGATCTCATGTTCCTTGCTAAGTACTAAGAAAGTCAAAAGAAGTTAAGCACAAATCTTGCTTATACACACTATATTGGGATGTGATGGCCTAGGATTATTATGAAAACACTTATACATGAACTAGTAAAATGGGGGGAGGGAGGAAGCGCTGTGTAAAGTTCAAGCTTGTAGGACTTTTAAACTGACATTTTTTAGTCAAGACCATCTAAACACAGTGAAATCACTACCTCATCACTAGAAATCCTGGAAGAGGTCTGGTTCCTTTAAAAAAAAATCTCTTTTAATAATTAACTTTCCCAAAAAACTCTGAAAAGATACAAATCAGAAGGCTTTTTCATGGACTGTGAAAACATCAGAAGTTGATTCCCAAATTACTTATGCTTTTTCACTTAGGATTTAAGCTTGTTTTACAAGCATTCAAATATGGATACACAACGTGGAAAAAACATTTACTTATTTTGACTGTACACATTGTACACACACATATATGAGGAGATTTTCTTTGTAGCTGTACATATTAACTACAGAAGGAGATCCGAAATGTTTGGCTGGATTCAGTAGCTGAACAGTTCTCATCACGACTCCTTTTCTCATCATGGGATAAGAGAAAGAATCCTAGGGTCCAATTTAACCATAGCAAGACTTTCTTGAATACTGAATATTTCACAATTTTCTTCATGTCTTTCCAGAAACAATCCCCTCTTTCCAAGTAAATACTTCTGTTCCTTGAAGAGAAATAGTCCCTCTAATGTACAGCACTACTTACATGTTAAGGTAAGAGAAGCTGGGTCAAGCTTTAACTTGGTACATTCAGATGTCCCATGATGAAGAACATCTTCTTCATCATAAATATTTTGACGTAAAACATTCCTTATAAACTCTGGATTCATCATGTTTTCCATAAACCCTTCTGTTGATGGTGGTACAGAGAACTCCAGCTGATAAAATACAGTAGCGCTTTCATTACTGAAAAACAAACAAATTCAGGTATGAACGTGTGCAAGTCACTGCTGTATCTTCTCTTTTCTTTTTTGAGGGGACTGCCTTTTCATATAAATGTTGGTACTATTTTTTTTAAACCTGTTCTAAGGAAAAGCATTAGAAAAGAGAAGAGCCATCAAGCTTCCGGTTTCCTCTTTCACTCCCTTCTCTGAGCAGCTGTCAATATTAATGAAAGCTGGGCACATAACTGAAGCCAATCTGAAACACATTTTCAAATGAACAAAGGGCAGCTGAACATGTGTCCTGATAGGCCAAGGTGTTCCACATTTGTTCCTAATGAGAACATAACAATAACAGCAGAGGTGCCACAATACCGTGCTTGCAAGTTAGCCAAGAATCCCCAAAAGATTTGCTCCCCTGATAACAATACCTGATGCAACCCAACCAGGGTTGCTAACCTAGGTTCTGGAGTGGATTATGTAAACCACTGGACTGGAGTCCCTCTCTGGAGATTTCCTTGCTTGCCATCTATCAAAAACACTAAGTGCAATCAGATTGTTGCATTTTGCCTAACAGAATCATCAAAAAAGAAACACAAACATCAAAACATTGATGTTTCAACTGAAACATCAAAAAAGAAGTTGAAGAGGGGAAAAGAGAAAGAAAGGAGGTGGGAGGAGAGAGAGAGAGGAGTTGTGCAACACATGCAGAACTACAGGTTTATACTCAATGGCCTAAATCATCACTTTTAACTGAATGGGTAACAAGCTACAGCACGCTCATTCAACAGAGCACGCATGCCCTAGACTGGTGGTGCATCAGAGCACATTCATCAGAGTGCCCTCAGGACGGCCCTTCGCCCCAGCCCATGGGGACTCTTCCTCTGTCCTTGCTCTCTCAGCTGCCCTAGACTTTTGAAAATCTCTACTCGCCATGATGTTTTCCAGTCTTTCTTATCCTATTTATAACACTGTTTTTTCATAAATCCTTGGAGAAGCCGTCTGCACCACCTCCCTTGCCTCTCTACAATCAGTTCTTGGCAGGACCACCCCAGAGCTGATCTTTCCAGCCCCACATTTCCCTCTTCCGCTCAGCTTCCTCTTCCGTTGTAGGACTGCAGCATCTCCATAGCTTAAAACATTACGGTCTCAAAGATCATAAACTCCTTAGCCTTTCTCCAGTTTGGGCTGAGAGTAAGATCTTCCCTCAGCTCTAATGTGAAGCTTTCTCCTGCCTCTGCAAGGCAGGCTGGATGCTTTTTCATCTTCTTGCTGCCACCACTCCTCCCCTGCCCCCATCAGCTTTCAGCAGCTGAGCTTTTCCTATGTGTGCAGCCATCTCTCGCCTGGGTGAGCCTAACCTCGGCCTCTGCCTCCTTCTCTGCCTCTCACTCCTGCCCCTCCAGTCTCTCCAGCATTTTGCTGCTTTGAGACTTGCTCCTGTTGCCCAAAATAAAGTGTGTGTGGCGGGGGGGGGGAGGGAATCCAAACAAACCAGCAATGCAATACTCTGGTTTTGGCTTTTGCTGCTTGTGCGCCTCTGTTGCCTTTAAGCTGTTTTGGGAACAAAATAGTTATCTCTGTCCCCACGGACCCTTTTGCATTTAATTAAGGCCGTTTAAGCCATGTTGCTCTCAAGTGGTTCCAGCAGCTCATTTTCCTTTAAATAAATTTCCTTTAATAAGTTTAGTAAGGGCTGCACCTGGGACCAAACACAACAGATGACACTTATCAGCAACAAAATGTTACTGTCACTGTTTGTTACTAGCAGCACTTGCCCTCTACACCAGCGAATCCTTCTACCAGTTTTCACTATCCATATTGATAATTCTCCCCCCAAACACCTCATTTTTCATAGATTTAAATGTTGTGCCTATTTATATCATCAGATAATTTTCATGGCAGAAATTACTTACCTGAAATAAACCACTTGAGCTGACCTAAAGTAGCGTCCCAGAGCTGGAGATGAACTGTAGACATCTGTTAACTTGGAGAGAAAAAAGAAAAGAAAAACAAAAAAGAAAAAATAATTTCTTCCATTCACTATCTCTTTCCCATAAAAGAAAGAACAGTGAATCATTCTTTTAAGGTGTTGCACAGTGCATAAATATAGGCGCTGAAGGTCAAATACCAGCAAATATCTGTCCTGGAAAAGGTACACATTCCCTTTGAGCCTGACAGACAAGTTAACCTCTGTGTTTGAGTGATTACTATATTACCTTAACACAATAGAGTCATTCAGGGTGAACTAAAAGTACGTGCTCAAGCTGCCATCAGCAATTTATTTTATTTGGTTTGGATTTTTTTTTTTTTTTGAGTACCAGAGAGCCATTCTAATATTACTTTATAGAGGGAAGGGTCCCCTTCTACAGTAAATCTAGATCAATACCACCACGCCTGCTGAGCTTACTTCAGCCATAATTCAGAGTCATAGTGGCTCAACGGAAATGACAGCTATAAACCCAGTTTGTCACCACACATTTACAAGAACGCAACACAAAACGTTTTTGAGCAGGGATCAGGCTAGATGACCTCCATGGGCCCCCTTCCAATTAAATTACTCTGTGAAAAAGGTGAGGACTAAGTCCCAGCCATTACTAAAATTTAGGCAAAACTTTGAACTTTTAAAATCTGTGCAGCTGCTTGTGTGCTTAAAAGCAGGCAATTCCTTTTTCTGAATCAGGACTTTAAACGATACTAGAAAAAACACAGCTCAGAATCTATCCTTACTTTAGCAAATTATATGGACTTGCAAATGACTGAGCTGCTACACAGAGAAACAGAAATTTCTTAAAGGGAAAAACATTCAATCTTTGTCACAAGCAGATTCAGCTTTGCCAAGAACCATGTCAACACATACCCTCTTGGTGATGTCTTCAGAGAAAAGGTATGGAAGACCACACTTTAACTTGAGTTTTCCAGAAAAATTGCGATAGTTTCCACTGTGTAGGAGTGCATCAGGATCCCAATACTCATCCTCATCTGTGTAAACATCTAATATTCAAGAAGAGATAGAAAAGGGAGGAAAAGTTCTAGTTAGCAGAAGTAGGAAAAATACCGTCTTGACTTTCTCCGGAGTGACTTTTTACAAATTGCCTGAGTAATGACTGTCTGGAAGCGACAGAAAGAAAATGCAAGTCACCTAAAGAAAAGTGACAGCACGCAGAGGTCCATGACTCACCCCATTCTTGAAGGTTAGCTACTCTGGAAGGCTGGCAGGCACTGACACCAAATGAGACCTAAATTATCCATTGCACTCATTGCAATGGTAAAAGCATCGTTTCCACCCTCATCCCCACAATGTGTTCTAGTAACATTTCTTCAGTTCACTACAAACTGAAATTGGCATCTGACCAGGACACAAGCTGGTAGCTGTCTGCTAAAATAAAAGCATTTGCATACGTAAGTGTACGTCTGCCCAGACTAACAGCCCCCCAAACCAAAATTCTGTGGTGTCTGTACATCGGTGTGACCGTGTACTTCAGCTGGCCATCGCAATCACCTCAGCAGCGAGCCACTACACCCATAGGGATTAACACAAAAAATTGTTGTAAGGTAAGCATCTAAACTGCTCAAACCCCTTTAACTTCACTGAAAATCAGTACAAGGAAAGACAAGACTGCACATCCACCACTCACTGTGCCACCCACCTTCTGCAATCAGCATCCAGGTCTCTGCAGCAGTCAGCTTGCAGAAGGAGTTTAAATGTCCCCATTTGTATTGGAAGATGACTCAAGAGTAAGATACTTACTAGAATAGAGAAGTAGGCTGATGAGAATTACCAGGAAGAGCGCTATAAAAATTGTAGCTATAACCATCCATAGTTTACACTTCCAGAAAATGACATTGTTGCATGATTTCCAATGATCCCTGTTCTAGTTAAAAAAGGAAAGGGAATGTGGATTAATGAAATAAGGCAGGGAAAAAATATTTAAGCATGTCTCTAATGTCACATTTAGAAAAAACAAAACAAAACAGAGGGATGGTCTCATTGTTAAGCAATGCTCTACCTCAGAGGTTCCCACCCTTAAATATTGTTGCAGGTGGGAATGCAGACCTGCAGAATGCAGTGGGCATTCACAGGCAGTCAATTACTTGAGAGAGGAACATTTAATTCCCTACTTATGCAGAATCTCCAACTCTTGAATTAGCCATAAAGCTAAGGCACCACAAAGATACTTTCATAGTTTCCAATTTTTTTTTGAAGGAAATCTATTTCCTTTGTTTTACAAACTGTCCTTTTAAAGTTTGGCATCTTTCGCAACCAAAAAGTGTCTGTGGAGGAATTTCCAGAACGATTGGATATCAACCTTAATGGCATTGATAATATCAGTCTGGATATAAGCACCCAAAGCAAGTGGACTGCTATTCATTAAATGTTATTGCATTAAGGAACATTCTAATGTTGACTTCCTTTTTCTTCAAATGGTTGAATATTTGAAGATGATTGATTGTGAGCATTTAACAGAAAGTTTATCACAAATCTCACATCTGCTAGGAGATCACAAGGAAATTTTCTTGAAAGAAATTGTGTATACAGGCATGTTCATATAGGGGAGCAAAGACAAGTCCTGCCTTTCATTTAATTTTTGATAGGATTTGAGACTGAGGCAGGAATTAGTCTTTAATCGGTTACCCCAGCACTATTAATATTAAAAATATACTTAAGTGACATAGCAAAACAAACAAGAAATGCCAAATAATTTGTTCCACAGACAGACGACTGAATGAAGGGCATAAATTCACAGAAAAGCAGACCATACTGCCTTTATAACTTCCCCTCCTCCCCACCTACTGTAAACCTCGACATAAACTCCTTATCAACTCCATGACCTTTCTGAAATCAGTGTCGGGTAAGGAAAAGCATGTGCTGTAGGTTGTCTGGGCCACACACATGCAGAATAGCAGGAACCAGCTTGCTAGCTGGAGGCACTAATTCAGATTACCTTCCTTTACTCTTTGAATTTTCTAAGAACCTCGTATAACAGAAACATTTTCACTTGAGAACTTTCTTCTGAATTTAACTGACGTTCACCAACTGGTTTAAAATTTCTTTGGGGGTGGCAGACATACAGGGAGAGAAAGGAGACACCCAAAGATCCCATGAGCATCATTTCTTAAGCAGGGTGGGCAAAAAAAAAAAACCTCAAAGTGCTCTCTGCAGACATACCTGCGTGTGCTACTCCACTTGAATGATGAACAGCTGGCTGAGTATGGCTTAGTTTACAACGTGCATTTGAAGGATTGTGTATACATATTTTATTTGATTTTTAAAAAATGTGTCAGAAGAAGAATGAACCTTCAATTTGGTATGTAACACCAGCATATCATTTTGTATCTGGCAAGAACACTAGCTACTGCCCAAAGTACAACTATGAAGTTGGCTATCATAACGCGAGCTGAGAGAGACAGCTATCAAGCCCAAATTTCCACTCCAAATACCAGCCACGCATTCAGACTATCACAAAAATGCAATTTTTAATCAAGCAAAGTAAACTGGGTTGATTTCAAAAGGAAACATTCAGCTCTTCAAAACTCTTCCCTCCCAGCTGGGCCAATGCCCTCTGGACATTGCTCATATACATGGCGAGACTGCTGGGAGGGAGCAGCAGGGGAAATCTCTCCGCACTGGACAGGGCAGTCCATTCATTCTTATTAATTTGATTTACTGCCTGAGAACGAAGCAGAGCACAATAATTTTCCAGCAGTCCCTACACGATATGAAGCCAAAACACCAGAATCAACAATAGAAACAGAGCCCCAGTGAAAAGTCACAGTTCTGGGAAAAGGAAGGCTCTGAGCTGAAACTTAAGCGTAAAGTTTCTCAAGAGAGCAGAGCTGATCTAGCTCACCCCTGTCTCTCCTCCGCTCTCTCTCTTGTTCCTCTTTGCATGTCTCTAGCACTTGTCTGACTTTCAGCCAGCTGATCCAGCTCATCAGACCAGAGGAGAAGTAACACTGCTCCCAAATACAGCGGGACCAGGGTTTTTGCCTTCGGGTGGAATGAATCGAATCGGCTCACTGAGGGGGTCAGGCCAGATAATCCGTGGGGCTGGCAAAAGGAAACAGTCACTTTTGCTTGGTCAGGAGCAGAAGGAAAGGGTGGCAGGACTTATGCAGCTGAGCTGTTAGATTGGCTCAGCCATCCCTGGAAATCTTCCCCTATGGAAAAGTGGGAAAATTCCTTGTTCTGCCACAGGTCTTCCCTCTGCCTTTAAGTAGTCAAAATCATCTTGCTGAAGTCACCTGTTAGTAAAATGCCACGGCGCTCCCCCCCCCCCCACACACAAGCTTTTAGTCTGTTCCATAGCGTAAAGGTAAACAGTAGAAGCTAACCATCACAGGACTCACATGCTGGTCTTAACGGAGGTTTATGGGTGCTCTATCCATACAAATTCATAATTGTTAGCACTCGCAAATTACCTAACAATGAGAAAAAGAGAGACACTAGCATGGCTAGCCTGCTGTAGGGCATCCTACTCTCGTGGTGCTCTTTTCTGATTAATTTGTTCTCAGACAAATCCTATTTAAATATGGGTTTTCACATTTCTCCCTTTTGGTTTCGAGCCCCCTCCCACTAACATATAGAAAAGGAAAGCAAAACTCAGAGTGCTAAGTACAGCTTTAGTTTCTGAGTTAAAGTTCACAAACAGCCAACACCAAAAAATAACAATGCTCAAAATCCCATTCCAACCTTATAAAATTTGCCACCAACCAGAAGGAAATAAATATATCTAACTTAGTGTTTTCAACATTTACTTTCAAGTGAGCAACCTTCCCCTTTGTTCAAATAACTAATTAAATAATCCCACAAAATGTTCCTATGAAGTGTCACTTCACTTGCTGTGTGATATTTCCCAACAGCTCCATAAGCATTAAATGAGTAACCGAAATTCCTACCTTTTTTGTTGCTGCTGTTTGCGAAGTTAGAGGCTCATTATAAACAGCCTCACTTTCTTCTCTATTAACCTCTTCTATTTGTAATTCAATATCCTCCTGCTCCTGATCAGAGCTTTGCGTTTTCATCGCTTCCGTTCCTGGGCGAGGATCTTTGTTTCTGAAGCAAGCAAGGAGATGATAACTCATTTTCTTCTGCAGTTTCAGCTGCAGTTATGCCAGTAGCAGTTCTGGTATGAGGTTAAAGACCGTAACAGCGAGAGTAGGGATGGTTTTCGCAGGAGTGATCTCAAAACACTGATAAACGAGGGGAATTCCTTGGAAGGACAAATACGTCGCCGGCGCTAGCTAGAGAGAAAAGGGAGGGGGAGGAAGTATCGATTTGCCCAGTCTCCAGAACTACAGCTCTTGTGCTGTGCAATACCAGGTTTTCCAGTTTGTCTGCCTTACCGTACCAGCCCTCAACAAGCACAAGTAGGTGAATAAACCTTTGGCAACGTTGTCATTTGCCAAGGTGATTTTGAAACGGACTAGACTGCTTTCCCTGCTCTTTTCAGCTGAGACAATAAAACACTTTTCTGCACAAACATACAAAGAGATGTGGTTCTGCAGCACAAACTCAGTAGTAAGGATCAAATAGCTTGTTGTTCAGTTAGTCTACAAAGGGAACTTATACTCCCTCTGAACACCTCTAATTTTAGCTTCTGTGTATAAGCAATTGAGAAATGCATACTACTAACTTTTGTGTTGCAAATTTCCTCTTGCTAGCTGTTATATAGGCTAAATCAGATGTCTGGTGCTAAAGAAGCATTTATATCTGTTCACATCCTATTCAACCTAAACCTGAAAAGCCACTTCCATGTTTGTTTGGTTTTTTTAGGAAAAAAAAAACAGTCTGAAGAGAAGGGGGGAGGTGACCTTCAGCCTTAGCCTATGCTCTCCAAGGTGTGGTTTTATAAAGGAAACCACAGTGTGAATTGAGATCTGGCCTGCACCAGCTTCCCAACAGAAGCTCTCAGGTGATAGTCTGAGTCACTCAGACTCTCCTTCTCCCTCCCTTTCTCTGTCCCTGCAGTATCCTGTATCCTACCTCCTCCTACTTCTTCTGTCCCAGCTCCATCCTCAGGTTTCTCCTTCCTCCTCACAGGGCACCTCTCTTCCTCTGGATCAAAAAAGTCTGGCACATGGCTGATAACTGCACTCTTGCTCCTTTTCTTGCTCCAGCACAGAGCAGAGAGTTCCCTTCTTTCTCCAACTCTGTCCTCTGCCGGCTGAACACCACAGCACTACTCCTTCTTCCTGCCAAGCCCTGAGGACACTTCCCCCCTACTACAGTTTTCTCATTGTGAATGAGCATGATGCCTGAGCATTCCCCTGGGGTTCGGATTCCCAACATGTAACAGTCTGCGAGGCAAAGGCACTTCAAAAAGCTGAGCACAGGGCTTTATTTCATTCCTCAAATAAAAAGAAACACAAAGTCCATGCCCCACCTTTGGTTCTGGAGAATCCTCAAAAGGCTGGAGGACTAAGCATAGAGCCAAGCAGTCATCAAGATCAGAGATCAGAATAGGTGTCTGGATCCACAGGATTTTACTTGGAAAAAGTTTTCACTAGAAAAGCCTTTACCTGCAGGATCTCAGTACTCCTGCTGGAGATGAGCTTCATTCATTTCATTTCCACTCTTAGCAATAGAGCTTACCTTCCTACCGAATTGTCTGAAACCAAAAGAGTTTCTCTAAGTCAAATGAGTTAATGATTATAGAACGCACCCAGCAAAAGCCAAAGTCCATATATTTTAATCTGTGAAGGAGCTCTATACAAACTTTTGAATTTTTTTAGTCTGGCTGAATTAAGATCCACACTTGATGCCTTTCTTGCGTGTAAACTAACAGACCTCTCTCACACATGGAACTGAGAAGCTCTTAAAGCAAACAGGAAGTTGGAATCGATCTGAACTTTCTGGCCTGCACTCTTATGTAAAAGAATAGCAGGAGAACTGTTTTCTTCTGTAGGGCAGACATCTCTGATTTCAACACAACGAACAGAAACATACAATCTTAAATGCGTGCTTTAGTAAAACAAGCAAATCTTGGCTCAGCTTTACAAAAAGGAAACTCCAAGGTACAAACGTATTTCTGATCAGTCCCAGGGATTAGAAGGTTTAGAGGCACAATCCAATGAATAAAGCATAGCCACTTGCATATTTAGCACATATTTATTAAAAAGGAAGAAATGAATGACTGACTAGCCTTTAGAAATGCTGAAATACCCAAAGAATATCATTTGAGAACAGCTCATGCAGTATTTGTAAGTTGGATACAAGCATTGTAGGGGAAAAGTACCCAATACTGGCTCAAGAAAGGAAGGGTAAGCAGTACTGGTGTCAGACACAGGAATCGCACTGTGTGCAGATTAGTGCCAGCTCGTTCCAGCATCTTCCCCACATGCTGCTGGATGGTGGGTCTGAAACTAAACAAGACTCACGTGTTTATATATCACTGGAACTGGAAAAAAAATGTGCGGTGGGTAGCCAGGACTGATATTCAAGTTGCCAGCTTCTTTTTTTTTTTTTTTTTTTTGGAAGCTAAATACTCTCAAATACTGAGCACAACTTTAACACTGTCTAGGAAGTGCAGACAGGTATTCTATTACCCTGAATGCTAGCATTCTTAAATCTCATAAATAGCTTTGGAAACCTTAAATCATTTAGGTTTGGGCTCATTAGGAGATTATTTCTTCCACTGCTGGATTTACTGCTAGGGTTAAAGGAACGATCTTCTGACAGAGACGTGGCTGTCACTTCCTTCACCACTTTCTTTGAGATCAAGGATGCATCCAACCACATAAATCCTTTTTCCTTTATGTCCCTTTCAATGCCAGTATGGCCACATGAGTACACCCCCTTCTTCTGGCCAGGAAGAAAGACCAAACAAAAAGACCTAATCCTGAAACTGCTCACTGCACACTGCAGACCAAGGATGCCAGGGAAAACAGTGGGAAACCATCAGGAGACTGTCCACAGAGCACATTGGAGCAGGAGCTGAGGAAATGCATTTGTCACTCTTTGCAGACTTCAGACCCTACACAACTATGGTCAAAGCTGTAAAGAGAACGTGTGAAAGCACCAAAGACTGGGCAAAAAGCCAGGGCACATGAGAACAGTTCTGGACTGCGAAGCTTCAAGATTTTGCTTGATTGTATCAGAAGACTGGGTTCAACAAGAAAGACTTCCTGGCAGAGCACTAAACCTGAAACAGACTGCCTGCAGATGCCCCAGGAGAAATGCCACCCTTCTGTTCCTGGCACCCTACCAGGGTGAAGCCACCTAGGCATTGGCCTTCTATTATCTCCCAGGCACCAAGCTCATTCTGTTTGGAAGACAGATGCATCACTAACCAGTGCCACTATGATCATTGCACACTACTCCCAAGTGCTAGGTGAGCTATCAGCTGTTGGGAGCATGGGGAACAAAGAACAAAATATTTGTCCTGAAGTCTGGATGTGCACCAGCTCATCTTCCTGTGCAAGTATCAGAGTCTTGTTGAGATCTGTCTCCAAGTTCTATTTATAAAGGAAGTGAACCTGGTTTTGGTGATTTCATTGACGTCTAATAGTAAAGAAGAGAATTAACTGAAATATATATTACCATAATCAGCTACATAGATAAACATGTCAATAAAGCCTGTAAAGAGATCAGAATGTGACAGTGTTGTAAATTCTTGACATTCTGTTGGGGAACTAGTAATTTGTGAGGTTTTGAAGGAAGTTTTTTTTGGAACTTTATTAAAATATAATTCTAAATACATTTGTTTTATACAGTTTCCTTTGCTTAATTAATTAGAGCGCAGTATTTCCTTCCTCTTATTTAAATAACATCCCAAAGAAAGTAAATGATGCTCTTTCAGTCCTTTAAAGAAAGTTTCCTACACCTTAACCTACCTGAGCTATACATTTGATGGTTTTAGAAAATCACAGGAAACAACCCAAAAATTACAACCCAGAAAGGAACAGTCATGCAGTAGCAGCATCGCTACAGAATCAACTCACCTCAGTTTTATGCACTACACTGATCATAATGTTTGTATTTTGAAGAAATAGGAAATAATTATTTATGTTTAGAATCCTGTAACTTCATCAAGGGAACATATGTGAGCATATATGGGATGTGTAGATCCTCATATATGTGTTATATATACCCATACATATATATGTACACACATACACATGGGGGAGACGGAGAGAGGGAGGAAGGGATACATCTCAGAGATGGAGCGAGGGGAGAAGATTTCTAAAGGAAAGGTTTGGCTGGATTTTTGTTAAAGATTCTAATCCATGTTAGTTTGTATTTTTAAAGGCAGCGCTGTTTCTGCTGCTGGGCGTGATGAAGATGAGCCCATAAGGAATCCAAAGCTTCTTTGAATTCAAACAGTTACTGCCAGGCGAATAGCAAATGACTGTCTCTTTGTGGAAAAAAATCACTTTTTCTGATGCAGAAACTGTCAATGGCATTTTCTTGTTATATTACCAGAGATGTACATGATAAATTTTGTAGGAAGAAGCTTTCACAAATAAGATGATTTGCATTTTCTCTGTGGCACATCAGTTTGCATTCTGATGAATCCAGTCATAAAGGGCCATCACCTTAGTATACACACCAGGTCGATTGCGCCGAGCACATCCTTCACCCCAGCTCACAATGCCAGCAAGGTACCATCTATTTCCCTTTCCTGTGCAGGCCAAAGGACCTCCAGAATCTCCCTAAAATGAAGGGTACAGTTCAGCCATTAGCGCACACACACACACACAGCACAGAAACAAGTGTTAGGTTATTTAGGGACTCTAAATATCTGCCCTGCTCTTCCTCAAATTACAATTTAATATTAGCACCTTATTTCCAGATAGAAGGTACCTGGCTAGATACTAAATTTTTTCTGCTTGTTTTAACTTACAAAAGTAGCACACTAACCAATATAAAGCAGTGGCAAGAAGAAAAAGGTGAAAAATTACTCACTGCTGATGACCTATTACAGGATTCATAAAGTACCTGGTCACAGAGCTCAAGAGGGAGAGGAGGAGATAGGGATGGAAAGTGGGAACTCTGCCATCATTTGGCCATAAATTGTTCACATGTTTAAGACAGAACTCTTCTACTGTGCATTACTCAGAGATGGAAAGAGAAGTGTCTCTTTCTTACCTTCAGCTCTGCCAGCAAAAAAAAAAAAAGCATGATTAGATGTTATTAGCAGATTCATAATCAAGACTGTAGTTAGATTCAGAGAAAGAGAGAGGAAGGAAAAAAGACTTTAGCCACATGCAAATAAGAACTGGCTTCTCAAAAGGAACATGTAGGTCTGTGTGCAACAACTTGGAAAAGTTAAAATTCCTATTTATCTCTGTTCATAGAATCCAAATGCATTTGGGTTCACAGATGCTTTGTGACCCTCAGTATTTTAATCTTGTATGCCTTCTGTGAACAGAGCAGTTCACAGACTTCTGAACAGTTATGGATACTGCTCATCTCTGCAGATTTTACTTATGTATATAAGGCAGTCTGCAGCCTCCAGGTTGAGCCTGGGGTTTGTTTGCTCTCACCAGTTGGAGCTGACACATGGGAGAGGATCAAGAAAGCCATGTACCTATAAAAAAAAGTAATAGCAAAAAGTCTTTGTCACCTAATCAAACAAAACTATCTAGTGATAAGAAAAGCACCAACAATTCCTCCTCTCTCCCGGGCTCCTGTCATACTGGTAACTTTAACCACTCAAAAAGCTGTTCTTAAGATGACTTCAGAAAGGAGACTGGATATTCTGGCCAGTTATACAGGAAGCTTTAAAAGACCAAAGGACCTGTATGCATGCGGAAGGAGGAAGGATCCTGAAAAGAGGAACCATGTAAGACCAAAGAACATCCCAGAGTGATAAGAAAACTGAGTGTGAAAGTGTACATGTTTCATTTCTTACTGGAAGTATCACATCATCTAAAGATGAAGGGTGTTTGGAAGCTTCACATAACTTGTGTGATAC